AGCTTTGTCAATATATTGTTTAATGTTTGTGGCCAAAAGACCACGTCCGCTATCATTCTATATGATATGTATGTCAGATCATTGACTCGTTATTAGTTCAATTGTTGCCACACATTTCTCATCTCTGTGAGTTAGATGCTATATTATATGTGATCGGTTAATACTTATTCACAATTCATGTGTGAGCTTTATCGCATGGCGCTTATATCTGGAGTTACGTTAGACTTAGTCTCAATGCAGAGGTTATTCGTGAGAGCGTAAGATGAGTGAGCGCGAGAGATATGATAAAATAGAGTGTGTATAATCTATTATACTCTTACGTCTCTACGTTTTCTTTCATTTGTATTCAAATTTATAGCTGTTTTCAAGTGAACGCCCTTGGAATTGTGACTAAATATTGATCATATAGCATAGCTTACATGATAAGTTAAATGCGTATATTTTGTCTCTCTACACACTTAGTGATGGAATACAGTTCTATATCATCCAGTATAGTAGTAAGAGTTCACACAGGACAACCTGTTAGTTTAGCGAACAGTACAAGACAACGCTCGCGCATGGGACGTCTGATCCAATGTCACCCTTTGCATGAATTATTATTTCCTGAATAGGTCTTTTAAATTTGAATTATAGTTATAAGACTATATGATTGGTTGTTTTATTGACTGCTTACATAATCATATTGTAAAATGAAATTCCTATGCAGCTTGTATATAGTTATTGCTCTCAAGTTGATAATATGTGTGATGAAGAGTAAACAAAAGATTGGTTTAATTCTGCATTAGATACTTGTCGTACCGTCTAGGTCAGACTCTCAAGTGTATTAAAATTAGCTATATACTGAACACAATAGCTCGTCCATGTTTTACATGTTTTTTGCAATTTTAATTTGAGTATTAGCTGTTTCTGATTACATGTTAATTATGTTACCTACATTAATATAGGTAAAACAATTGCATATATTGCAGAGAAATTATTATATATCTCCTGGATCCATTGTACATAATAAAGGAAGTAATCTATAACAAAAGTTAAATGCATTTAATAAATAGAGTTCATAGTATTAAATATAGTTTGATATATGGTTGGTTCTTTTTATTATAATTAATAGTGGAGATGCTAATATTGCTATATGTGCGTTATTCTAACTTAATTCAGTTATCTATATATATGTGTTTAAGTATTCAATAGTAGTACTCGACATTAGTAAGAAGAAACTCTCGAAATCTTAACCTCACACAAGATATATGCGAATTGAGCTTTACATTGTCATATTTAAAAGACATCTAGGTCATTTTAACACTGAAAACATATACTTCGTCTGATACTTGCGTATTTGATGCTTTATCAATCCTTTTTTTCGTTATCTCTCTCATGGCAACTTAATTCTATCGCAATCTCTTATACTCTGCAGATAATATTTTTAGATATTACTCTCGTTTTATACCATTAAATAATAGAAATTCGTTTGGTTATACATATAATACTTTTCTGATAGTAAGTAAATTCATACTCTACGTTTGAATAAATTAATTTCAAGAATGCTTTGTTGTCATTATCTGGTACTCATTAGAAGCAGATCAATCGTCAATTTAAATACAATTCATACATAAACCATTTTCTGAAATATGAAAGATATTACATGATGTAAATATCATGTTTCATTGATATGTGTGATTGATTGTATGTGTGTGATGCGTTATAGTCAGACATAACAATTAGATATCAACCTAGTAGAGTGCTAGATTTGTCTGTACACACAATCTATCAAATATGAGAAACCTACACTATACACCAGACACGTTGATAGAATTTCATATAGCGATCTCTCTACGTCCATCAAATCTTCGGATACGTCGCTTGGAAATCACGTACTCGATAGCATACGCTCTCCACGCTCTATTGTCAAGCTAATAATTTGAAAATCTTATTTCATGAGAATACATGAATTGACTGTGGAGAGATTTTGTACTGTGATCAAGATATTAACACGTTTTATATCACCATGTTAATTCACGTTTTTGTCACGAGATGAATTTACAACTGTTGAGTGCGCGATATACGCGTCATCTGCTTGAGTTGACATATTCACGGACTATATTCTTCACGGATCTCAGGCGAGCTTTAAAAAATTAAGTAAGTTTTGCTCTTTAATTACTTGTCTGAACCAATTGCGACGCTCACATTTTTGGCCTCTCGACTCGATCAAGTCTATGGTTAAAGTGTTAGTGTGTACTTTCTATATATTTTTACACTTTTATACAGAAGGAACGATAGTTGTGTGAGTCTAATGGAATACTCAATCAAATGTCTCTCGATAGTAAGTGAGACAGTAGTAATGGCTGGCAAGGTGAAATATTATCTTTGTCTAGTAAGTGCAATATACACTTGTATTTACGAAACGTGATAAAAAGCATGTTCTATTGAGAAATGTTAGCTGTATGTGTAACATTTCACCACTTCTCACGTTATCTTATACCCGAGATACTTCTCATAGCTATAAGAATAATTATACATTATTTAAATGTGTCGAAACTTAAGCAATAGAGCGATGTGTTATTTAAGGCCTGAGAAAGATGCTCGTTTATACTTGTCTACTTTATATCAAAGAGCGTGCTATATGAAAAGTCCAGTGATTTCGTTAACGAATTATACTTAGAGTTTTATAATAGCTAAAAAGTTGTTGCTGTAATCTTCTCTCTGTTAGTATTATAATATTTAGATTTGTCTTATTATATTGCAAAGTTTCTATGCAAAAGTAATCACACAAAAACAAACTTAGACACCCATATACAGGCTCGTCTTACTATTAATCGATTCAGTGTTATGTACTTTTTTAGTAGCTAATTGATAACATCTATTTGATATTATATATGTACAAGAGTATCATCGTTCATATTTGTTTTATGGCTAGCCAACTCTATCGTGTTTTATGAGAGCAAGAGTCAAAAAAAAACAATATGAAAACGCTTACTCACATCTGAGCGTTAAAACCAATATCTGTGCACATCCTCTACCCACTCTCACCAGTTATAAGACAGCTGTGGAAATTACGTCACGACACCGATGACTATGACTTAGTCTGTTCTTATATTTAATGAATATCATTTCAACCATTTTTAAGTTAGGTCTATATTTAATAATTCGCTATAGTCAATGTGAAATGTAAAAACCAAACATTACAATACGATCACACGATAATATTAACCATTTACTAGCTTAAGTAGAATATCTTGAACTCTAAATCCATCGAAGTACCAAACAGGCTCTCTCGTATATTAACTTTTACCTGCAAACTTAATGAGTATATAGAAAAGGTATAATGATCAGATGAAGTCAGCTAAAGTAATGTTGTATTAGTGACAAGATATATTTAAACAATTATACTAAAGTTCTTATAGTGTCAGATCATAGAATCTAAATTAAACATTAGAATTTGTCTAATTTCAAAAATAACCAAAAAATAAAATTATTTTTAGTACCATTACTGACGTGTTTCATTGAAACAAATGCTACATCTTAATATCAGTAAGATTTTCACAATGGGTGTGTGATGGTTCAACTTCAAGGAGTAATTCAGTTAAGGAATTTTTCGGAATTTAAATGTAACTGTGTATATTATTATGATACTACTTTCAACTGTTTAAATTCGAGGTATTTTCACTCGTAAGATTTTTGTTTGTTGTTTTTGGGGTTTTTTTTATGAAATTTATTTATGACTGCTGGAATAGTTGTAAATATTGAATACAATTATTTACTCATTAACATATACATTCTATTCATGGTTGCCTAAGCATTCATGAAAGTTTGATCACCTAAAAATCAAAAGTTTCTAGTATAAAATACGTTAACGCATTTCAGTTTTTAACATTTTTATGCAATTAATATATATTTGGTTGTGTGTGTTCTTAAATTAGGCAGCTAAGCCCTTGACATGTTATTAGTAATTTAGTTGTCTTATACCTAAATGGGAGTGCCAGTATATTAGTGATGTCACTACCGTTTTTTTTTCTGACTCAAAGGATGTTGTAAATGAGGAACTTGAAGTTAAATTCATAGACTGCTACAAATGTATGCTTTAAATCTTCATTAAGTTGTTTGATACTCTGCTTTCTTATTGCTTTTTTAGAGTTAAGTTCATAACAAACTAGAATCTAGACTAGATCTACTCGTATGATGCAGTAAAGAATTTTTAGTAAACAAACTATTTTATTCATATTTGTAATGACTATAGAATGACAATCTGTGTGAGAGTGACACAAACTATGAAAGTTTACAAATAAATAAGATCTGAAGGTTAATTTTCTCGAAATGTTATTTTGACAGATTGTACCCCACCCACATTTGTAAAATTAATTGCTACACAAATCAAAATGTACCAAGGCAAAACGTACTCAATTCAAAGTAAAAGCAAATTACCCCTGCGAAATGAAATGCATGAAGTCAAGAATATTTCATACTTTAAAGAACTGTTCATGAACTATTCTTGAAAAAATCTTAAAGCTCTCTTCATGAAGTTTTCTTCATGAAGTGAGGTCTCGTCCCACTTCATGAAGATTTGAAGAATCATTGAAGAATTCATAAAGTTCTGGAAATATTCATGAAATGTTCAAAAAATAAATCATGAATATTTTATGAACTTGATATCCTTAAAATACTCATGAACTATTCATCAGAAATTTCATGAAGGTTTAATGAATTTTTAAGAGAGTTAAAAAATTCACAAAGCATTCTTGAAATAATCAATGTATCATACTTGAAGAGTTTTTAAAACTATTTATCTTATACACGTAATAATAAATCTCTAAAAAGTCAAGAAATAGTCCTAAGAGAAAAAAAAAATATATAGAGATATGTAATGACCTAGAGCCTTTCATTGCAAGAAATTAAGCTTAACTTATATCACAGATTTAAAATTCTCTACAGGAGCTCTATGATATTAAAAAATCAATAACGATTGTTTCAAAACTAAGCATTTACATATAAAAAGAACACATCTATGCAACCCAATTTTTAATACTTGTAAGTAGGTATTATATGTTATTCATATCTGTGCTAAAACATGTAATCAGACACTTATATTAAAGCTATTTTAGCTAATTTAAAACTTGAGAGTCTGACTTAGTTTTCAGAATAAAAACTTGTCTTCCACCACTTTAAATTACACAATGTAAAATTTTAAAGATTGAGGTCATAACACCACTTTCAATCATTAAACCATGAAATTTCAAAGATATGAGGAGCCTGGAGTCTTATTGCAATAATCAGTCCTGTGAAATTTGGTGTAATTTCCTCTAGTGTTAAGAGAAAATAGTTATATATAATAGAATTTGACAATTCAAGGGTCATAACACATTCAAAATCAATGAACTGGAGCACGAGTATGATATACACTATTAAGACTTTGCTCTGACCTGAGTCCTGTTAAAATTAGCCCAGCATAGTACAAGTGAAGTATCCAAAACATAAAAGTCAACGTGAAGGACCATATAAGTACGTTGAAAAACTAGAACATGTAGATGGTTTGCACAACCTAAGCCTTAACACTGAAAAGTTGTAATGTGTTAATAATTTTTGTTAGAAACGTGGCCAAAAACAAAATGTGCCAAGAATATCAGTCACTTGAATACAGCATGTCCATGTTTGTTTGGCCTTGTCCCAACTATTGCTGTTCGTGCATCTACCTCCAAATCCATGAAAACCAATGTACACATTATCTGTTCCACAGGTACAACATCAATCTCATGACTTTGTATTTGCACTGGTTTTAAATGTTTTCCTCCTTCATATGTATGCAGCCAAGAAGTACTGTGCAGTATCATCTTCTTCATCACAGCATAAACTTTATTTGTATCATTCACTAGAATAAGTAGTGTACCAAACCTAACTTGTCAGTAGAATAAAGGACAGCAAGACATGTACGCTTCTTCATTCTTGAGTATTCTGCACTGTAGAATTTGTTGCCATTAACACATATTCTTTGAACCCTTCTCAAACTTCTACTACTTTCAACACCTAATGCATGTAAAATGTCCCCACTTGGCTGACCTCTAAATGTCTGCACAGAACCAAATATGTCACAATTTTGTGCCACAAGAGTCACTTTCGTTTTCCTCTGATTTGACTGTTTCTCCCCTGTTATAGATCTTATGACACCCTTGAACGGAGCTGTAAAATAATAAAACATTTTCTAAAATTTCAAAATTGTCAAATTATAATTGTCACTGAAAAAATTATATTTATTGTAAAACCTGTGAACAAAGGTCACACCCAAAAGAGACAATAGCAATGATGGCTCCATAGCGCTCAACTAAGCAACTGTGAGTTTGCACAAATAAAGAGTTAGACTGGGTATAATGATATTAGAACTTGTGAGCAAACTTGTGCTTTAATACAATAAAGTAGATCAAAAGGCTATGATCAAGGTCACTATATACATAACTTAAAACAGACCACATTTTGGTTCACCCAAGGATGGTCGTTATAGAAAGATTTGACTGTATGTTCAACACCTCATTAGCAAGTATTTCTACATACTTACAAAGGCCATGCTGGCTACATAGGTGTTTCAGAATATTATCCTTGGTTGATACTATTCGAAGGCAAAACTTGCACTGAAACAATCTCTTTTCAGAAATGTGAATGCATCTATAACCATCAGCTTTTTTCCTTGTTGCCATCTGAAATTTAAAGAAAGGTACATTAATATGGTTTACTGGTTCACCATTCACTTACATGTAATGTGTGGTAGATTTCAGACTTAATTTTGTACATTTGATTTGTTATTGAAGAGGATGAGATTATTGCATGTTAAGAAGATAGCGACGCCTTTTGACTTTTTGTGAGTTGTTGAAACTGTGGAACGAACCAAACTTAGCCAAATGTTTTTTCGAAAGTTTACGAAACGCTTCAGCATTATTTTTATTGTCACTAATGTGTTTTCTTCTAGTGTAATATATTTTGACTATAAATGGGAGATGAAAGCTATTAAATTAAAAGAAATATCATCCTATTTAAAGATTTAATCTAAATCATTACTGGAATGACCATTTATTAATAATTTTAACTGAATATTATTTTTCTAGTCTGAATGTGTTTCACTTAAAATATATTATGAAAGATATAGTATTAAATAACAACAAATGCAAAAGACCTACATAATGGGGATTACTGATCGACAAGCATACAATTGCCCTGACAATTGTTGGTACATAACACAGGTGCTTAGGTGGCATTGATTTGACCTAAAATGTGTTTGACCTTGTTATTTATACAATAAAATATCAATATATTAAAAAAAAATATTTTTTTTTTACTGTTATATTATTATAGACAAGGTATGCAACATTCAGGTACGAAAATTATGGAATACGCCGCGGTATATCGTGTATAAAATTATCTATCACGAGAGCAGAGTAATATCAATGTCGGATTTGCATGGAATCAATGCACAATATATCTTTTTCCTGAACTTACAAATTAACTATATCAACAGCAATTCCAACCAATTACCGCTAAGTAATGTTTCTAAATTTTTAAAGCACCGAACAATAAAGAAAATTACCAGGTACCGAAAACGAGACCAGTACATGACATAAGTACTGAAGCTCGGTATTTACGCTAACAAAAGAGATCAAACGAGAAGATCGAAAACTCACATGCAAACAACTAGATTACATACTTTAAACATAGTTTATTCCTCCAGGAAGTAGGCACTAAGTCCTAATGTGCCCCGATATTTTAAGAAAAATTCTACATGTATATAAGGTAATTCCTAAATCGGAAGTGTTCTCCCACAACACGTGCTTGGTTCCCTGTTCCGCTCTTTGTCAATGTATGTGAAACGGAAGCCGGAGAATACTTCCGGTAGGAATTACCTTCTAAAAATATCGTCTACATGTAGGATATTTCTTTAAATACAGGCTCATAGGACTAAGTTCGACTCGTGGAGGAAAATTGTTGTAAAAAAGATTCTAACTCCATGAAACGAGTGACACGACAAATCAGTTATTTTGTTTGGGTGCCATCAAAGTGCTGTCTGCCATACTGAAAGCTATCGTGAACGGAATGTTTTAAACGAAATTTGTTTTTTGAGAATATAACCTTTGTCTATCCTTACGTTATCCAAATAATAATTACAATTAACCCATTACAATAAAAAAGGTTCGATAAAAGTTGATAAACAATGAATATAATAAATAAATACCTGAAACTAAATAAATATTTTCGTTCACTCACCGTGTGCAAAAGACTGGTTTCCAGCTTGATATCCTGTACAACATTATCGTAGTATCTAGCGCGGGTAACCAATGGCGAGCGTTTGGTTTCGTCTGCAAAAATCATAGTTTAACACACGCGGCAAAATATTCAAACATCGCTCAACAAATTTCAACAGACAAACATGGCAGATAGCATGATTTACTTTCTGGTACAATGGGAGGATTGCTATATGAGTGTAATTTCACCCGATAGCGTTCTTTTGCCGAAGAAAAACTCAAAATGGGACTACGAAGAGGGCGATCTAATTGAGGCTGTTTACAACAGAGGGAAGTCGTACCAGGCAGTGATTAGCGAGGTCCATCGTAAGTTAGCTTCGACACATAAACGGTGCTCAGTTGTAATAAGGTGGGAGAGGGGCAGTGTGGCTACAGACGCTGATTTTTGACTGTATACCAAATATTTCTTTGTTAGAAAAGCGACTCAAGTTGCCGTTAAATCATTATCTGAAATTTACGTATCCAAAACTCATAATTTTATGCACGATCGTAACGCTGTGAAGATTCTCTGACTCGTACATATCTGCTTTTTACACGCAGGTGTTTAAAACATTTAGCATTAGAATAATTGAAATATACTATGTATTGTACAAGTTCCTGTTTTTCTTTAAATTATAGGTTCGCCAAAGTTCTCAGCAGAGGTCATTGTGGCAAACAAAAGAACCTCAAGATGTGAAAGCCCACATGTGTAAGTTGATGCAAATTTAGTTAATAATTCTCTTCTAGTGAGCGAATATAAGCCAAACTTCACATGAATCATGTTCCCTCTTAGCTGGTTAGGTGAGTTAAATCATCAGCCTAACTACGTGGATTGACTAAATTCTGATAACATAAGGAGGACCCATGTGTTTTATGATTTTTGGAGTTCTAAAAGGACTGGTTTGCAAAAAAACTAATGTATATTACCCGGGTTTAACATGCATGTCCCTTATGAATGGACTAAAGGCCTTGGTCATTTTCTCTCTTAACCCTTTACCACATGGATACGTGTTTTAACGCAAATACGACTATTGCAGATCCAGATAAGCCTGTACATTCGTGCAGTCTGATCAGGATCTCCACTGTTCGCTTAGTCAGAAATTCTTCTATGAATATAAAAGCAAACAGTGGAGATCCTGATCAGACGGCACGGTTGTGCAGGCTGATCTGGATCTGCACTGGTAGCATATGCGTTAAAACATGTGCCGTAAGTGTGACAATACTCCCTCCAGCCATTATACAAGACATATTTATTTCATTAATGTTGCCATATTTGGGTCTGCAATTATCTTAAAGTCTAGCTGGAGGTCTGTAGGATGCCTTAATTAGACACATATGGCAGGATTGAGGTTTTGTGACTTTTCCCTATTCAATGTAATTGTTTCCTTTCCTTATCAGGATCAAGGAAGAAATACGGGCACTGAGGAGGAAGATAAGGAAGCTTGAAGATAGGGTTGTGGCACTCGAGTCAGGTGGTTCCAGTCAGCAGGATAATCTTTTAAAATTGGTTTCCCACCTGGATGCTAATGATGTCCAGCAAGTTTTATCAACACTATGCAAAGCTATATTCTCAAATGAGGAGTTGATGAACTGTAGCAGAACAGGGAAGAGAACCAATCAATGTTCTGAGAGAGGGCCACACCCACCTTTGGACATTGTTAAGGTTGAAAAGCTGGAGCATTTTGTGCGTGAAAAAACTAACATAAGCAAAGATTGCTTCATTAAAAAGTTTGAAAATATGCAGAAAACACTGCGCCAAAAAAAGAAGCAATAATATGTCAATAATATGTCATTGCTGATATGTGAATTAAAAGAGCAATAGTCACATTCACATATTTTATTGTTTATATGGAGGCCTTGTCTGTGTCTCAGAAAGTCTATTTTTGGCCATAATTTACAAGTTAGACCTTGCAAACATGTGCAAAATCAGCGGCCTCTTGTGAGCGCTCATTTGGGGCGCTTTTTTGCAGAATATTTATCACTGTCCTGAGTCTTCTTTGAGGTCGCTGCAAAATCTAAGGCAAATATGAATATTAGGCAATTTTTACTTCTTGAAATATTCTTAAAATGCAAATAATTTTGTGCATGAAATTTCAAGCATTTATCTTCATGCACTATTCACGAATAAAATATTCATGAACAGAAAATGAGACATTAAAATAATGAACAAAAAAGTTCATGAACTCTTCATGAAGTTCATTTTCAAGAATTTTCGTCATATGTTCTTGAACTCTTCATGAACAAGAGTTGTTAATCATTTCATGAATAAATCCATGATAAAAACAACTTCATGAATACTTCATGAATTTGGCCTGTTTTGAACTCTTCATGAACTTTTCATGAATGTGGGCTGTGCATGAAACCATGAATAATTCATGCATATGTCTCTTCATGAATACTTCATGAACTGTCGTTTCATGAGTTTTTTATGAATAAGTCTCATTTTCTGTTCACTTCTTTCACTTGAAGTCTTCATGAAGTAACTTCATGAATCTTTCTTGAATACTTCATGAATACTTCATGAAGAATGACTAAACATTTCGCAGGGGAAAACATTGTATTTTATTTCACTTCTCTGCCTGTGGTCAAATTGTTCTCTGGAAGATGTCCACCCTTCCATTAGAAATAGTCTATGTTTATTAGAGTGATGTGTTATTAAATTGGAAGTGGCTAATCGTACAGGCCCGTACGGCTAGCCAAAAGTTCTAGCTGTATGTGAGTCATATACAGCTAGCCAGGACACACTGTATTAGCTAGATGTACGGTACTTTTTAGCTTGACTATACAAAGTATATGGAATGCTGTCCTAACTCGCCTCAGCGTCCACATCCAGATTTCAGATTAAAGTTTGGTGCAGTGAAATATTTTTCAACCTCAAACTTCAAATATATGTTCAATATCAACCACATCTTATGTGACAAGGTTCATAACTCTAGGGCCAATATTTTCAGATTTATCTCCCCTTGAACTTAGAATTTTGCTTAAAAAATATTATTTTTACTTTAACTTTTTCATTTCTTAAGGTATCAACTTAAAACTTTAAATATATGTTCCTTATCAGAAACCACATCTTATTTGACACAAGGTTCATAACTCTAGCACCTAAATTCTCAGATTTATCTCCCCTTGCAGCATGCCTATTCTTCACTACAGTGCGTAATTCAGGCACAAAAT